AACAACAACAACGACGACAACGACAACGACAACGACGCAGCACAAGAGCTGTTTGGCAGGTTCGAGCCAGCAATAGCCGCTAAGGCCCACTGGCCACAGCGTGAGGCCAGTCTAAGTCCGGCCAGCAGTGCTGGGCCCCCGGCAGTGCCACTCTTCCCTAACCTCCAGCAGTGCTGGGAGCGCTCGCAGTGCCTCCCGCTACTCCGAGGTGACACGCGTTTCTCGAAGGCTGTCCTGAATGGACTCAAGCAAGGCCTGGGACGCGGCCACAGCTTCACCGCAGCTCATCCGGGCTCAAAGACGTGCGACTGATAAGCTCTGACGCCAGGGTTGAGCTCGTAGCAGGAGGCAAATGAGGATCTCGCCAGACTCCTTGCAGCTGCTCTGGCGGAGGGTTCGGTGGGGGTCGAGGAGCCACAGCCGTCTCAAGCTTGAGGAAGCCGTCATCGCTACCATAGGTACGGAAGGGAGCACCTCTTCAAAAACTGGACGATGATGGCTGCCTCGAGTCTTAAGCTTGCCCACCAGGTAAAACTTCGCGCATATCGCCGAGCGCTCCCATGTGCCTATGTCTTCCGCTCCCTGGGCCTCCGGAACCAGCGCCCCATCGCCATTGCCGAAGCGATCCATGTCCCTGCCATAAATGGCCGTGGCCTCATTGATGTCCCCGTGGCGTCCCCAGAGTTTGGCGCTGACAACCGCCTGGAATGATCGAGCAAGGACGAACAGGAAGCGGGGATTTGGCATTCTCCAGCCACTGCTCCACCTCTCGGCGTAGGTACCTACACGCTTGCATTTGGTCGGTTTCTGCAGGGCGGTTTTACAACCTCGTGCGGAGGAGTGAAGGCTGCGCCTCCCCGGCCCGGAGCACCATACCCGAGCTCAAGCGGGTACATGGAGTCCCCTGCGCAGGACGCCAGATCTATCAAGACGAATCCGGCAGGCCAAGCACGGAGCATGATGTTGTCCAGGTGGATGTTAGCGTGAACCGCGTTATGGGCGCGCAAGACGCGAAGGGCCACACTGATATCTGCGTAAAGCTTTGGCAGATGCTCAGGTCAGGTCGCAGTTTGAGGAAGCAGGGCATCAAACACTTGTCCCAGAGCTTCGCATGGAACTGGGGGAAGAAAGAAAACTTTGGAAGCTTCTTCAAACGTTTGTGCTCCTGAGCCAAGGAGGGCTCGTGGCCTTCTTTCATGGTCTTGATCACGTAGGCGGGATGCGGGCTCAGCCTCACCACAGACTCAGCTCCATGCCCCACGCGCGTCCCCTTGAAGTCCGAGTACAGAATGTCTCGAGCATCATGTTCGCAAAGCTCGACCATGGGATGAAAGAGGGGCGCCGTGAGGACGTCCAACTCACAAGCAAAGCTGCACGCAGTCACGAAACGCTCTATACCTGCGGGCGCTGCAAGGCGGATATTTTACTTTGCTTGGGAGCGTGCTGCCTGAAAGGCTCCAGCCTGGCACAGAGACACTAACTGCCCTGCTCAGAGAGTTTACGCTTCTTCGGAGGGGGCGGTGTAGGAGAGAGCGGTCGTCTTGATGGAAGGGCCGTAGATGAGGGTGCTGAAGAGAGGTCCGCAGCCTTCGTCAAGCCCGACAT